AGTGTCTCGAATTTACTAATTCTCTGAGAAGTAACCCTCTTTCTCCCATGGAAGAGACCGTTTTACACAACTATTTTCCACCATTTGTTATGAGCAAATAATTCTCACCCACAATGCTAAATACATTTGTCAATTGAGTATACACTGTTTGTTTTTCTATGGTTTCCTCTCAATTAACAAGTAATATGAAAATGAACAAAAAGCTCAGAGAAACCTCGGTAGCTTGCACTTCGGGTTAGTCCACTCTCGGGTTTTAAAAAATGTTTTCCTCACTTGTGCCATCGCAGAGAGAACCTGTACCATTACCACATCAGACTTATCCTGCCTTTAAGACCTACAGTTCAGTTCCCTCTGCATGAGGGATACAGAAACCCTGAAGGATCATTTCAGGCTTTTTTGGGTCTTGTCAGCGAAGTGTTAGCCGATACCGCTCTAGCTATTTAGGTTTCCCTCAACATTTGCCTACTCTCATATTCTCTGTTTTGCTCTCAATGCCTTTATTTCGGTCTGCTTACGTCGAAAGGTTAATCCAGACTTTAACCCAATGCTCAATGTGCCTTATGGGTTGTCATCTACCCTGCACTGATGAAGCCCAAAGAAGGCTGAAACAATCACCGGGGTTGCTGTATCTCTTGGGCACAAGGATCTAGCATTTTGGATCTGGACTGTCCTTACTGGTGGGATCAGTCTGATATGCAAGTGGTATACTTTCCCTGTGTAATGGCACAAGTGAGCAAAAATTATTTTGAGACCTGAGAGTGGACTAAACGAAGACCAAGCTACTGAAATAATTCTATGGTTTTGCCTGCGCTCATAGTCTCTGTTAAGGAGATTGCTTGAGGAACTGGATGGGCAGTTTAGTTTAGGGGCCATCGTCCATTCATTGTGAGGTATTAGCAAATAAAATTAAATGTTGAAATACACACTGCTGTATGTAACTCAATCCTGGAGCAAACTCTTAATCATCATTAAAACATTATCATGTTCTACCTTTGAACATGGTGGAGGAGAAACTATCAGGGTTATTCAGTAAATTAAGAATTCAAAGTAAATTTCAAGTTTGAGGCTAGAGAAGTGAACCGGAACCATACTGATTTGAATTCACTTTGAATTCTTACTTTAGTTAATATCCCTGATTGTTTCTCTTTGACCAAATCAATGTGTGACCTGGCTGTGCAAGAACTGAATTTAATTGTGATATAAAATATTAAATCTTTATTAAATCTTTAATATATATTTCAAAAGTAAATTGAGAATCACATGGGAAAAAAAAAAGTTAACATCAGTTATAGTTTTTCAATGTTGCATTCAATGTCCAAATTTCAGACGCGTGACAGTTTCCCTTTAACAGGGACTCAAATTATGTCCATGGCATTAGCTTGGTGATGTAACATCACATTTTAAAATTACATATTGATTCATTTGTACTAAAAATCTAGAAGAAATATTGTACTGAGAAAGGTATGATACTTGAATGAACTCATGTATCGTTAGTAGTTAAATATGAGACCTGGGACGACCTAGAGTGGACCCACTAATTTAACATGGGAAGCCAGTTTTGTTTGGAAATACATTTTACACTTTATATTAATCTTTATTACTATGTTTTTCCAGTTTGAAAGATAATTCATTTACAGAAGAGTGTTGTCCCACATTGGCCGCAGCCCTCTGTGAGAATCAGTCCTTGAGAACGCTAGATCTGTCCAAAAACAAGCTTGGTGGTCCGGAGTTAGAAAATTTGTTGAATGTTCTTTCTGACAATGCTTGCAAGATAGGAAACTTGTCGTGAGTATTAAGCTTTGTAGGAGGTTTTCAGGGGAGGCATGTGATATATTTATGTTGTTATGAGAGATAAATTGAGTGTATTTTGTGTTGGTAAACAGATGGACTAGTCTGCTGAAACTAAAGATCTTCATTCATAGGCAGAATGAGTCAGTTGCTAAAGTGTAACAATGAATTGGACAGAATCAGTTGCACTAACAAACTGGCCTGGCTCCCATTTACTGAAACTCCTACCGTAGAACAAGCTAGTTAATCAACAATGTCTGGCTATGTGGCCAACAGAGAAAATTGTAAGAACGTTTCTTATCATTTATATGATGATTTATATGAGCAATGTTGATTTTTAAAAAAAAGAAACAGAAAAAAAATGCATTCACTCGTTCGAGCATTTAACACAATCATTGGGAACCTGTTTATGTACATATATTACTTTCTTTGGGTGATAAACACAAATAATCCCCAACCTTAGTGATGTATTTTCTTTTCTTCTCTGGCCTTTATTAAAAAACTGTGCTGTTGTTTTCCCTGCAGGTTGAGAGCCACGAAGCTGACCCATGAACATGCTCCTCTACTGGTTTCACTGAGTGGAAACACTAACCTCACACATCTAAACCTCAGCTTCAACTACTTTGCAGATACTGGCAGTGAATATATATATGAATTAATACGAAAATCAACCAGTCTCAGGGAGATCAGGTAGGCAGAACATCAAGCTGGTCAGTGTGTCCCTGGCTCTCTTAATTATGGACAATAATAATTCAGACTTTCCACAGATTACTTCTTTACTTCAATCTCTCCATTCTGCTCCCTCGATGTTCCACACTGACACATAAGGACTTGAGTAACGACTTGTATTGGACAGTTGTACTGTTTGATAGATCTCTGAAGACACAGGGGGGTCAAATACAATGGAACACACATAGTGCACAAACACACTTCCATCTCCGTGCTTTCCTTTTAAAAGGTAATCCAAACATTCCAAACCTTTTCATTGTATTTCTTTTCTGATCTAGAATGTTCTATTGGCATGTTAGTGTTCCCCCTCCCTTGTTTATAAAGTTAAAAATAAGTTCTAAACTTAATGGAAATTCAGCTCCAGGCAAAGCTCCCCATGCTGGTCTTCACTCCCCCTTTCAACATCACTGCTGGTCCAATCCATTGCTTTTCATATAAAAGCATTAGATTGGACAATTTCATTGGCTCAGAGTGCATTTATGAGGTCTAAGCTGGCCGGGGATGGGATTTAAATAATGTTTACACAAGGTAGGGAATAGACACTAATGCTTTCCCTTGCTGGTATACTGTCTGCACGCAGAGCAGAGTCCCAGCCTGCTTTTGTCACTTGTACAACTAGCTCCTGGCACAAGCGGGCAAATATCTCTGTATGTGCAATTTATCACATACAAATGCTGCACATAGAGACTACTACCACCATTACCACTTCTTAACCCATTAAGGAGACAACTGGAATATTTCCGTCATGTGTCCTTAAGGGGTCAAAGTAGAAGGCCTGGTTGTTGGAGTAACCCTTTGAGGTCTTATATGGGGGTATAAAAAGAAGGTTGTCTTCAACATCTATTTCCCACAAAAGAGAAAATTGCTAGTAGTGATTCCTACCATTGTCTTTGTTTCATTATGACATTGCGGATTTAATAATCCCTATGTTGAACTAAGACGTTGGTTGATTTGTCTATTTTATCCAATATGAACAGAACTATTAAGAATTACAAAGATTTATAATCCCTAGGCGTGTAGCTCAATGTGACAGCATCACAAGTAAAAACTATAGTAGAACTTGCTTGTTAACCCCTTCATTACCATAATAGAGCAGAAATATTTTTATTTTCATATATTTTGCAAAATGAAATTTAGTCCATAAAACTTTTCTTTCACTCATTTATACTTTAGTTATTATTACCAGCCATTAAAGGAACACATTTCTCTGCCAGAAGTCACTATTCATTGATATAACGAAAGTGGGTTTGCTAAAAATCTAAGCTCAACCCCCTGCTTCCGGTAAAGTTTCAATGAGTCATGTCATTCCTACAGTCAGGGAGGAGGTAGGAGTGAATAGAATCCACAGTTTCACTGTTAGCATTGTTAGCACTCAAGAGATTAATAAAGTTTGCAATTGCAGTATTGCAGTATAGAAATGTATGATTTAACTGTATATATGATGTAACTGTATTTACTGTATATGGGATTATGTATCAATGCATACATTCTTTTTACATTCTGTTGGGATTTGTTAGTAATCTGTACTGCTAGTAATGTATTTAGGGTCCTTGCAAATACCTATAAGCAAGGTATTTGACCATTAATATTATCAACATATTGGCTAAGAGGGAAAGATGAAAGAAATCTTGAAGGAGCACATGGGTGTGATGGTTGGATAAGAGGTGGAGTTGAGGATACGGAGAGGATGGTTTAAAGTGTAGCATGAGATCAGTGAGGGAAGGTAGGGAGGAGAAAGGCTGAGAGAAAGGATTTGTACATGAGGAGAAGACATTTGAAAGTCGCAAACTTGTCTACCAAACATTCCATGTCACAATCGTGCTTTTGAAGAAGGATCCAGATATGAGCTGAACGGGGTATGTTGAGGAGTATACTGGCAGCAGGATGTTGAGTTTGCTAAAGTTTAATAGTAGAATGTTGTGGAAGGCCAAGCCAAAGGGAGTTACAGTTATGAAGCCTGGTGAAAATGAGGGAGTGGATAAGGAGTTTTATCAACAATTCACATACAGGCATAATAAGCCCCACAACTTGATTAGCCATATATGGCTATATCTGGTCACATCTGTTTGTAGCAAAGAGAGCACAAAGCATGGATTTAGCATTGTTTCTCAGCGCTTAGAGTGATCCTTTCAAATCCAACTCTGGGACCATAAAAATTAATGATGTTGGCCAATTGTCAAATGGTCACAAATATATATACTTTAAAAATTATAAAATGAATCCTGCCAATAACCCCTTTCTTCATACCCCTTTCAACATCCCTGGGATTTATTAAACTTATTGCGTTGATTGCAAATGAAGTATACTGTACTTGCTCTGTCCTCTTAATCCTCAAATAAACTGCGTATCTAGACATTTCTTTGACTTAAAGAGATGTAACTGGGGTCTGTATTTTGTTATAATAATATATGTAGAATATATATTACATTTTGTTTTTATTTGTCACGTTTACCAGATTAACTCCCATCATTTTTTTCCCATCTAGACTGGACACGAATGACTTTAACATGGAATCAATAGAACGTCTGAGGAGCCTACAAAAGTATCACCCGAATCTGAATATTATATTGTGAAGAAGATAAATGGTGTATTCCACGCAGGATATCTCAGGGCTCAAAGCAACTCAAAATCCAAATTGCAAATTTGGTCTAGTAATTTAAATGCTAATTTATTGCATTGAATGTATCATTGTTCTAGGGATCCAAAGTGATTGCTGAATTTATTACCCTCTTTTATTAAATACATTCATATTATAAATATTAATAATAATTATGATTGTTTGCCCACACCGTTTTCATGTGTAGGTATAATTTTAAGATATTCTTTATTCATATTTTAAATATACATTTAGGGGAAAATTTTCTAAAGGTTAAACTGGAGAATTGGCAGTTTGGGTGTTTCTCTTTCTCCAGGTCCTCATTTCCCCTTGGAAGTGTCTCTCCTGTCTCTTCCTCGTTGCTCCTTCCAAACAACCCCCAGCATGATTCGCTTGCTGAGACCATCAGCTGACGCTCCTCAACCAATAAATACTATCCAAAGTTGGTTTACTAATGCAGAATACAGCTCACCCTTCCACAGATTCAAGGACTCCTCTTACCGTAACCACTACAGTGCATTGTAGTAGTTATGGTTCTTACAGTATCCCTTTTAGCTTGTGAGAAGTAAGAATCAGGCGATTTCACACCAGAATAACTGGAGATGAAAGCTTGGGTTAAAAATGATGCTTCCAATACATAAATCCGAGGTTTGGGAAACCCAATGCTTCAAATAAAAGAAAAACAAAACAGATTAGAACGAATACAGTGTTATTCACTCATATGAGAACCGTCAGGAATTCAAAGGGAGAATAACATTTCAGAATCCTGAAATTGAAAACAGAATAGACTTGCTGAATTGTTATAATTTCACTACTTTGTGCTAAAGTTTGTGATTTACTTTAAATTCTCGGCAATGCTGACTTAATTGAATAATCCTTAAAGGGACACTATAGGCACCCAGACCACTTCATATCATTGAAGTTGTCTGGGTGCAGTGTCCCCGTCCTCTCAACCCTGAAACGGAAAACATTGCAGTTAAGGGTTAAGACTGCCTCTAGTGGTTGTCTTCCAGAAAGACACCCGAGGCACTTCCTAGGGATTCATAGAGTTTAACCATGTGAAATGACGCTGGACGTCCTCACACTTTGCTTCAATCACCTATAGGAAAGCATGGAAAGCATTTATTCACTGCTTTTCTATGGGAGGGACTAATGCGTGTGCTGTATTCGGTTGCCCCCATGGTCAACATCGGAGAAGATGGGGGGAAAAAAGAGTACACACTCTTCACACATAAAGTACTTCAGGAAGGTGCTCTAGGGGTCTGGATTGTCCCCTTTAATGGACTTGTTTTTATGTTTGCAATCATTTACACTGTTAGTTACCAAGGTGTGAATTGTCATGAATTCATAGAAAGTTCACATTTTAGGCTAAAATAACTAAACTGAAAACATGGCAGACTGAAAATGTTAAATCCCCTTTGAATTCCTTACTGTTAATACTGTAGTAAATCTGCCCTATTTCAACAGGTTTTGCACATGCCTAGTCTCCTTTAAGAAGTAATTGTAGGAATTTCCATTGATTTGCCATTCAGGCTGCAGAGTCAGCTGCCCATGAGTTGGAGGCATGCTATTGGCATCTCTATTCGGGGGCCATGATTGACTGGTAGCACCAGGGGGTGGGTTACAGTGCCCAGAAGAGAGAAGGAGGAAGCCACCTTGGGAGTAACAGATAGAGCACAGCAGCAGGAGTTCCTGATCCCTGCCAAATGTGAGTGTATAAAATATTTTTCTCTCCCACAAAAGCCTTTAGATTTTAGAGAAAAGTATAGATAAAGGAGGGCTAGCAATCCCTAACATTAAAAGGTACCATGACACAGCTATCCTTAAGCATATTAATAAATGGTTCAAAATAGTTTCAAAAGATTCTTGGCAGGATATAGAAAAATATATGTTGGAGATATCGGACCTCTCCCTTCTCCTGTGGATTGATCTTAAAAGATTGGGCATAGATAGGATTCCAGCCAACAATGGAGGCAAAAACAGTCTTAGTTATCAAATTCTAAAATTTTGGTCTAAATTTAAAATACAATATAATTTGCCATGGGAGAATACTTTTCGTTGTAAGAGTAATATTAACCTCTTAGAATATAACATGGAAGAGTTGAATCTATGTACCTGGAAAGAGAATGGCATAAAGATTTTTTTCTGATATCTTAAATGGCTCTCATATTAAATCTTTTCAAGAAATAGTCTCTGAATACCATATTCCCGCAAAATAAGTTTTCCGTTACCTTAGAATTAAAAGTTATCTTCGAAAATATATATGCAAAAAAAGACAATGAAATTCCGGGTTTGGAATGTCTATTAAAACAGATCCAGTTAAAAACATAATAAATAAATGGGAAATAGACCTAGAAATAGAGATCATAGCTTTGGACTGGTATAAGATTATACCAGAAGCTAAGAAATTCATACATTGCCTTAATCCTATTGAGTTACAATATAATTACAATATAAGATATTGACCAGATGGCATCTAGTTCCAAAGAATAGCAACAAGATGGTGCATCCATATTCTACTTTCTGCTGGTGTTGTAGCCATGCAGAAGGTTCTTATACTCATATCTGGTGGAACTGTAAGAAGTTAAAAGCCTTTTGGAAATTAACAAATAACATTTTAGAGAATATTACGGGTATCCCCTTGACATTCTCTCCCCAAACAGCTTTGTTACATCTAGGATGGCCTCAATTGTCTCTGGGGGATAGATATATAACAACTGACATTCTGATATCTGCAAAAAAAAGTATTGTAAAGCTCTGGAGGCAGAGTGAGCCTCCAACGTGGGAAATATTAAGAACCCAAATCTCTTTTTCAATTAAGGATGGAGAGAGAGATCTCCCTTACAACTAACTATGGATGGAATATATGGAATAATTATATCAAAGAGACATAAAGCACAACTCTGAGTCTTATGTCTATGTTTTTTGTTTTTTTTCTCTCCTGGAGAATTCCCTGGGCGTTTTTCTTATCTATGTATCTTGTGTTTTGTATTTCTTTTTTTAAGAACCCCCCCACACACACACACACCTTTCTCTACCTCTCCCCACAATAGGATCTCGATTTATAAACGCCAGATTAAAGTTAAAATTATGGTATATATCTATGGCGTGTATTGGGAAGATTTATACTTTGGAAGTATTTTTATTTTCTGTCTTTGAATACTGACCATCGTCCTTTTTGTTTTATTTTTAATGTTTGTTGATGTCTTCGAAAGTGTTGATTTTAAAGCAGATATATCAATGTATGACTTAAACTATAATAGCACTGAGATTGTTAGGATGTCAGTTATTGTATTTTTGACGATATGTACATGTTCATTTTTGTATATTTAAAAAGCTAATAATAAATATAAGAATAAAAAAAAAAGCCTTAGTGACTGCATGAAAGCTGATTAAGACAATTTACTAAAATGTATAATTAATAGATATAAAACCAGATAAGCCATGGGATGACAAAGGGAGTGGGGCATATCTGACACATAGCACTGTGCTGCCTGTCACTAATAGTTTTATTAAAACACTTAGGCTGTAACTACATGAAAATTGTGTTAAGCTTCCAACCGCAGGACTGGGGCTGTGACTCTGAGGACTGATCTGATTCTGATTTCAATCTGTTTTAATCTGTAATGTTTGTTGATTCTGTTAGGGGCCAAGTACTAATGCCCAGTAGGGCATATTATATTAAAAATATATATTAGTACAAGCTCTGGAGTAATGCATTGAGCTCCACATTCCTGACCTATTGTTATTGCATCCCATACTGGAACTTGATAGCCTGTGTGCAGATTTTGGCACTACTTCCACATTGCAAAATAAAAGGAAAAACAATAGATTTTGTTTAGATTTGTTGAAATGACCAGCAGCACAAGACAATATGCCATTTGCCTAATATAATGCAACCATATACTTCGATGTTTTTTTTTATAAATGTATTTTACTCCACAGGACTGCAATTGTTGTGAACTGATTTATTGGCATAGAGTTTACATTTCTAAGATAAAGGTCAACACTAAATGGTTCAAGGCTTTTGTTGTTTTATTTTTTTTTTCTATTTTATTTATTTATTGTTTTTGCAAAAAATGTAAAACATTACTGAAGGGGTGATTCTGAATACCAGAATATTATACTGTTGTAAAATGTTTTAATAAAATAAAAAGTAGACTGTGACACAAACCATTTTTTTAATATAAAAGTTTATTGCAAATTTATTTTAATGAATATTAAATATTTACTCAAAAGTAGAAAATAAAAGTAACTTTTAAAAATTGGAGTTTATTTTTCTGGACGAGTAAAAGGGAGTTACTCAAACATTTTGCAAAATTGAAGTGAAGCTCGAGTGAAAGCCTTCTCTCAGGACTCCTCTATATTGCCCTAGAGCCATACACCGTAATTTACTGTTTAGTAAACAAACCAATTAAATTTTTGTCAAACTAACCCCCACCACCAACACCACTGCCCGCGTTCACGAGTTGAGAAGTCTTGCCACACTGTGGGTTTGTTAAGGGTTAAATTGTAAAGTTCAGAAACAATAACATGTACCCATGTCTTGAGGTAAAATTTAAACACTGCTGCTCCCTTCCCCCAGGATTCAAGATGGAGACTCTGGTTCTATCCCAGAAGTCTTTCTGTTGTTATCGTAAGTCACTAAAAGGCAGTATGTGTATGTTATTTCTTCCCACTTCAGGTGAAAGGTCCATATACCTGTCCGTTTGAAAGGCATTGAAAACATTTTAATATTTCTATACAGGACGACAGAAGCCGGTTATGTTCTTATAACATATTTACAAAAACCATAAGCAATATGAAAGTACTATACACCACTGGCCCATATGTAATCTGAACATATTGTACAAAGTCTTGATGGATTGGTAGGTTTATATACATTTTAGTCCAAGTTTTTTTTTTATTAGCTCTGCTGCCTTCCGTTGTTAAACCACAAATCCCTCTCGCGTTTGCGCAGGTACCATCACTGCAACTCCCCCTACTCTCTGGATGTTATAAGGTGTGTGACGTGTGGACTCTGGAAGGACAACCAATGGTTGCGGAGATGGTGTGTTACGTCCGTACTCTGGAAGGACTATGAGTGGTTCAGGAGATGGAGTATAGCTCTCAAACTTGGGTTTAATGAGTTCACTGCTGGTTTGGGATGGAGGCTTAGGTTCCTCTTTGTGTGCCGCACTGTAGACTCTTCGTAAGGAATAACTGATGTGGTGAGGTCGGTACCCAGCAGCAGTACGGACACTGCTGACACGGCTGTTTGTGTTACTTGGAGGAGCACCAACATCCTCTCTGTAGATATAAGAAGTTAAATTGATTACATTAAAATCGCATATCCCTATTAACTATAACTATATTAAGGGCCTCCAGCCTTACTTTAATAATTTATAGAAGTTTCATTTGAACCTGACCATGTAATTTCTAATCTTGGACTTGATAGGTTAACAGATACAACTATGGATACATTTTAGAATGTCTCCTCTGTGTTCCAAACTAGACAATGGAGAACCTTGTGTATGTTCATTTATTTGTCCATACATTGACTCCTCTTAGACAAGAGTTTCAGTCTAACCCCAACCCCAGCCCTAGGTGATTGCTTTAGGTATGGTGCTGAAGACGAATTTGATGGTATTAGATAAAGGAAGCATGGAAATGAGAGCATTTCTTTGCTATAAGGTGTAATATACTGGCCCGCATCTGTCTCTTTATATATTTTGCATTGCACAAAACAGTGTCTATGTACTAGTCAGGCTAGTGTTCTGACTGTTGTAGGCTGCCAGACTGTCTCTATGGGATCCATAACATCAGTGCCTGTAGCCTCCGGGCAAGAGTCTAGCTCTCAGGCCCTTCTCTAGGCCATCCAGACGTTCGAGAGCAGATGCCTGGGTGCAGATTTTTTTGTGTCCCCAGGTGTCCTCCTCATTGGAAATCTCCAGTACAGAAATGCATGTTTCTATGGCAACGGCAACTCCACCTCTCCATCTGTAAGCCCCAACCCTTTTTGTAATCAGACACATTCTCACTGACAGACAGACACACACACACTCTATGATTTGACAAACATTAACAGACACACTCTCAATGACAGACACACTCTCAGATTTGAAACACACTCACTGACGGACACACTCATGCTGACAGTCACACACACACTCAATGACAGTCACACATTCTCACTGATTTGACACACACTCAATGACACACACACTTTCACTGACTTGAAACACACTCACTGAGAGGCACAGAAAATCCACTGACAGACACACACTCACACATTTAATGTTCTTGCGAAAAGTTCCTCTCAGCCCCCCTTCTGGCATCTGGTTGCAGTGCACCCGCCCAGGATTGTCTCTACTCATTACCAATACGTTTACGAATTAATAATGGGTAAGAGTATTAAAACCATTACCCCATAAGATTAACTAGAAAATATATAGGTAGTCGCTGTCCATTACCTGATATCATTGGCGAGTTCCTTTTCATAGCGCCTCTTGTTACAGCAACAGATGAGGCACCAGATGAGCAGAAGCAGGAGCAGTAGAAGCAGAATTGCCCCTATAACGGCCCCAGCTATTATGGCAGCACGGTTGCCTAATATAGAGGTAAGAGAGATACTGTCATTTGCAGGATATCTGTGAGTTCACACTTTCATTTACTTTTATTCCATTCTATAAAAGTATTCCCACCACAGTTACATTTCACCCAGAGCTTGGATTTTGAAATGTTTTTTATTATGTCTTTGCTATGTTGTTATAGAACGTGTTTCTTGTATCTTAAAGCACTACTAGCCAGGTCTTAAAGTTACTAGCAATCACAAAAGAGCAAGCGCACAACCTTTAGTATTGGTCAAACATGTACCTGCAACCAGGGTCAGTAAACAATGATTTTTCCATAAAACGTATCTGTGCATGTGAATGTGTGGGTTTATCTCTATGAAGTGTCTGTGCATGTGAATGCGTGGGTCTGCTGTGTAAAGTGTCTGTGCATGTGAATATGTGGGTCTAGCTGTGTGAAGTGTCTGTGCATGTGAATGTGTGGGTCTAGCTGTGTGAAGTGTCTGTGCATGTGAATGTGTGGGTCTAGCTGTGTGAAGTGTCTGTGCATGTGAATGTGTGGGTCTAGCTGTGTGAAGTGTCTGTGCATGTGAATGTGTGGGTCTAGCTGTGTGAAGTGTCTGTGCATGTGAATGTGTGGGTCTAGCTGTGTGAAGTGTCTGTGCATGTGAATGTGTGGGTCTAGCTGTGTGAAGTGTCTGTGCATGTGAATGTGTGGGTCTAGCTGTGTGAAGTGTCTGTGCATGTGAATGTGTGGGTCTAGCTGTGTGAAGTGTCTGTGCATGTGAATGTGTGGGTCTTGCTGTGTGAAGTGCCTGTGCATGTGAATGTGTTGTTCTGCTGTGTAAAGTGTCTGTGCATGTGAATGTGTGGGTCTGGCGGTGTGAAGTGCATGTGAATGCTGAAGTCCCTGTGAGAGAGACTGGTGTGTGAAAGCAGAGGTTTGCTCTCTGACCCTTTTGACAAATGTTTTACATAAAACTAAACTTTATGCAAGAGGTGGACAGTGGTTGATATAAGTAATGGGAGTTAGAGTGTAAGGTGTATGAAGAGTTGGGATATGTGTGAGTTAGAGTGGAGATGGCAGTGTCAGCTTAGTGGGATTAGGTGAGTTAGGAGCTGGAGGGGGAAGGGGTTAGTCAGGACAAAGGGACATCGGAAGGAGTGAGAGGTGGCACGATAGTGGTAATTTTGGGCATTGGAAGTACAGTAGGAGTTGAGGTGAAGGAGAAATTATATGATAGTGGGGTGAGTGGTAAGTACAATGAGAGTTGCGATGTGTGGACAGTGGAAGTTAGGGCTGAGTGGGCAGAGTTAGGAAGGGTGAAAAGCCTGCTCCTAAAGTTCAACAAAACTTTACTATGCCATTTTCTCTTCCAAAATTAGCAACAGTAAACCACTCATAATGACCTCTGCAATCTAACCTACAGAATGGACTGTCACTTAGCTATTTAAAATTGTTTTATCATTTCAGAACACCAGATGGGGCTGATGAGCCTTTCTACATTTCTCATTGAAATATTCCAATTTCATAGTTTTGCATTGCACTACTTTGACACTGTTGATGTTATTCTCTAAATCAGGAATTGTTCAGAATTTGTTACGGAATTTAACATTTTAAATAAAAGTAAGGAAATTAGGAAAAATTATCCAACTAAACTATTTTTCATCTCGGATTTCTTTTTTCTTTTTTATATCCCCTGTCCTGTTCTGTTCCCTGTAGAATTTATAGACTATAGAATGAATCAACGCGTACTAATGTGTAGACAAACTGTGCTGAAATTATGCTGTAGCTAAAATGGAGATTTTTATTATTATTTTTTTTATCTGCCTAAATTTTGAAAATCACTTGTTAATTTACTAAAATGTATTGTTTAGTGAATGTGTGCATATTTTACTTAATAGTAATTGCAATAGTTGTCATTTTTTCAAACTTAGTTTATTTTATGAAGTTTAGTTCTTTTGAGGCGTGAGAATGCCATTATTAAAAAGTAAGATGATTTCTAGGGCATCTGGGTCTCAAAGACTGATTATTTTCTGCATTGCTTATAAAAGGGCACTGTTCGGTGGTTAAAATGCAAGTTACTTGCTGAATTGTTTCTCGTTTTGTCTTTTATTGTCACTGCTGCAGTTATTTTGTGAAAATCCCACTTGAAGTATGATCTGTCTTTGCCATTACCGGATTTAAAAAAAAAACTATTTTTGAAAATTTCAACACTTACAAGCAGAAGACACATATTTTCAGTAGAGCTATGTTTTTGTCTGACATCTTTCTTTGGTAGCATACCTCAACCTTGCAGTAGTACTTCACTCTATGGAACGGCACTTTTCAATTTCATTCAGATGATTAATCTTCACTATCTCCATTATTTTAAGGTTGGCAATATTTTTTACTATTGTTATTTTTACTTTTACATTTTTTTTCTTTTGTCTAGCGCTATTATGCAATTAATAATGTATGATAGTGTAAACACGTTTTCAGGGTTTAATATGTTCTAGCAAATGGGGAATATTTGCTTAATGACGGTGGTTTGGGACTAGCCTGCCTTTTAGCAAGGTATGCCTGTATCTGGTAGTATCCTACTTAATATAGGAATAAAAGCTGATATCACAATTTGTAGAATAGTTACAGGGTAACAACACATTAACCAAAGGGATAGAAAGAGGTGGTAAAAAAATGAAAATATTTTCTACACAGCTCCATAAACAGCAATATTATAGATCATGTCTGCAGTCAAACTGCTCAATTAGAGTTTGATTGACTGAGCGTGATAATAACTTCTAAGGTTAACACACTGTGCCTCCATGAAAGAAATGATTTTGTTTTTAATCAGATCTTACAGCAGTGTCATTCACAGCCAGGGGAGCTGTGGCTAGGGCTTCATAAACAAAGTGACTTATCTCCTAAATACCTGAGAATTGAGCAATGAGTCTATACACTAAATCTGCTTTATTATGCTAAAGCTGTATTGGTGCTTAGAGCCTAGTGACCTAGTCATGTGGCATAACTTTCAGTTCTTTATATTTTTATTTCTAATGTGGTGTAACACAGGGGTGCCCAAAAGGTAGATGCCCAAATGTTTTAAAACAGCATCTTCCATAATGCTTTGTCATTCTAAATGCAGGCTTGCAAAGCATCATGGCGTTGTAGTTCTACAACATCTTGGGATCTCCCTTTTGGGCACCCGTAGTGCAACAGAAGTATACCCACCTCAGTGGATACCACTTAAATGCCAAATTGCTGCTGCCAGTACATTTCTTTTACTTCATTTTGTAAAAAAAAAAAAAAAATAGGTTTGAAATTATACACAGCTAATCAAAAATTGGCTTTTCATGTGTGGCACAACCATTACCTCAGATATGACCATGTACTTCTAAACTCAAAACTTAGTGTTTTGTACTGTGGATGATTAATTGTGAGGAACCATAGTAGGTAGGCGCTGACTTACTTGATGAAACAGTGAGTTCTACTGAACAACGTCCTACGCCCACTGTGTTCCCCACAGAGCACTGGTACGTCCCGGCATATGCTTGGGAGAGATTCTTGATAAGAAGGTCCCCGGTGACTCCAGCTGCAGTGTTGTAAAATAGAACATCAGACCAAAGCTTATGTATTTTTAAACTTATCAAGTAAATGGCGGTAATACCATACTGTGCAAACTTTGTTTAGATCGACTAGCTCAAAGGACACCTGTATATCTTCTGCCAACATTGAAACCCATGCTAGGTTTAAATAAAAGTCCTCGGAAATATCTAGATTGAAGTAGACTTTGGTAATCCCTATTTCCTGGGCCATAGAGGTTCCAAGGATACCGATATCAGAACCATTCATGTAGATTCTAGACAAAACTGATTCTTATAAGGTTCATGGTGGCAAAACACACATGCAAACTATTTGGACTGCTCTGACATTTTTGGTTTTCATTGCTAATTTAAAAAATTTAAGAAAACACAGACTCTTGCTATACAGACATGAAAATACTATTTTCTAATTACTCTTCTCCTCTCTTGATTGCCCACCCATCTATTTATTTTGGCTATTCTCTTTTCTACCCCACTACAAGCAGTGCTTTTTCTCCACGTCAGAAAATGTCCCTCTCCTTGGCTGGTTTTTTACCCATTTCCAGAGATCTGTCTGTCCAGACTACTGCCTCTCTCCACCCTTCTTAATGCCCTCTTTCCTCAGCAAGGGGACACAAATATTATATAATACAACTGCCAGGATTCCAATTTAGTTTTTTTCCATGTGTTGCTCATTTTATCCCTCTGTGACCTAGCAATTTTTGTATGAAAAACATATTTGCACGACATTGACTTGACACATGAAACGTATAGCTATCACATAAAGATTATAATAAACCGGCAATCTTGTGTATAGATAGCTGTTCGCACAAACGTAGAAATCTAAATTATGCAAAAGTGTGCAATTTGTGTTTTTAATGTATTCATCCTGTAAAGAAAGATTGAGGAAAACCTTTAAAAAAGTATAAACTATATTTTATCTTCCATTATTTTACACAGGACCTAAATTATTAGTATAAACCAAAAAAAATACAGTTATTCTCACATACAGTACGTGTGACAAAAATAGATCAATAAAAATGGTCAAATACCCTGCTTGTACTTGTAATGTAAAGATTAATGTCTGTATTTGAGCATAATGTCTGCATAGAGCAAGTTCAGTTAAAGCAAATGTTTTTTTTTTTGTTTTTTTTTTAAATAAAAGTATTTGAAAAGTTAGCAATAGCAATCTCTTTAATGCTAAGAGGCGTGTGAGAGTAACCATTCACTCTCCTCCATGGTATGAAAGTTGAATTAATTGTTTGGAAGGGAAGGCTGTCATTTTCAGGACATTTACAGACATTAAATTGGTGAAAGAAGCAGATATATTGATATCTCTGCCAACTGGTCATCTCTGCCATGAAGGTTAAGCCAGGTAACTAAATTTCGGTTTTCAAATCAAATGAAAGTTAAAACTTGGCCTGTGTGACAAATATGTTTCTGTGCAACCATATGTTAATGTTATAATCTAAGACTTGCTACCAGCGTCAAATATTTCCAATTTTCCTGAACACCTGTATTACACATTTCAGAGCAATACCTTTTTGTTACGTCCTGTTCCGTTCTGCGCAGATGTCTGGCCTTGGCTTCTGGTATCCAGTACTCTTTTTACAATTCTTGTTTAGTTTTTCTTGTTTTTTCTGGTTTTCTTTATGTTGGGTTTTCTGGGTTCATTCCTTTATTCCGTTCCTGGAATTCCAAGTCTCCTGGATTCCTTTAAATGTTTGTTTTTTGTTGCCACACCCATTCCTTTGCCAATTAATCCTTTTTGTTCCTGCAAGCAGTCGTCTTGTTTCATCTGCTCCTTTCTTTGCAGGTAAGTGCTGTGTGTGTTTTATTATTGTTTTTTTAGTCATGCATATCTAGGTAATTGGAGTACTTTGGCGCAGTGGTGGGCTGCATACATCTTGGCCATGTATGTATGTCTAAGTCTCCAATGTTTTACATATATAGTACTTAGTTATGTCTCCTCTTGTTTTGCTTTGTATCTCTTGTCTTGTTTTAGATTGTCTTGTATTCCCAGTTCATGTCCACTCCTGTCCTGTTCATGTTTCCCTCATGTATTATGTACATGTTTTGGGTTCTGTTTTCTGTCCTTATCCAATTTTGGGTTCTTCTAGTCTTGTCTTGTTTTCTTGTTTGGTGCCTGTTCTAGTCTTACCTTGTTTCTAGTACTGGATACTTATCTGCTTAATATCAGCTCCTGGCTTCTGCTAAGCTGCATCAGGGCCTTTGTATGTGGCCGCACAAACCATGGTGCCCAACACCAGGGGGTGTGTGGTAACCCTGCACCAGACCCTGATTGTCCATTTCCACGCTGAGACTCTCATCATCGGGCATACAGGGTCCCGGTCTCCGGACCGTCACCCGTGACACTTTTCTTACAATTACACTAAATAAATAACCTGCAATCCTATTGTAGAAGTATAAAAATTAAGCTTGATTACATTATCAAAAAATGTAAGGATAAACAGAAATAATCTCTATACACGCGTAGTTGCACAATTGATAAATCAGAAAATTAATCTATATACATAGTATTCACAGTAACCAAACAGATATTTCATATAAATATAATAAAAAATAAAAAATGCCTTTGTGTATGTCTATATATACCTATCTGGTAGTGACTCTCATTCACCCTTGACAAAGGCCTCCTGTGCTGAAATGTTGGGTGTCTGTGGTACCCCCTGATTACTAATATTTTTTTGCTTTGCATTTTTGACTACATGATTTTTCTTTATATTATTTTGCTTTTGTGTATGTAAATCTGTATGAAATACCTGTTTGCCTACTGTGAATACTGTGTATATAGACTAATTACATGCATAATGTTTTCTGATTTATGAAATGTGTTACTAGGGGTGTATACAATTATTCAGTTTATTCTTATATTTTTGAGAATGTAATAAAGCTTATTTTTTTTTATACATCTACAATGGGAGTGCAGGTTATTTATTTAGTGTATTACTTTGATTATACATTAACCTTGGCCTCATGCATTAACCTTCTCATTTCTTACAATTATTCTACAATGTGCAATGCTACCTACCCATGTTTAGCGCTGGAGTTGTAGGGTTGGCAGCTCCACTAGTCTTTTCCCAGCTGAAACTGAGTGGAGTAGATGCACCTTCTGCTCTGCACATTAGCGTCACATCTTTCCCTTGGGTCTGATCGCCTTCAATCAAACAACGAGGATTGGACGGAGGAACTGAATAAAGACATAATTAAGGATGAACACAGCTACTAAATATGGTTCAAATTCATCTGTTATTCTTCAACCTTACATCTGTGTGTAGTAACAGACTTTGGGGCCAACTTTACCTTGCACAATTAAGGTGACCTTTCTTGATGCTAATCCAGGATACTTCTTCACTTTACACCCATAGGTTCCAGAATCTTTGGCCTCAAGGTATGAGATAGTTATAGAGGCATCTCCATTGTTAGGATTGCCAGCTGTGAAAGCCACACGTTTCATCAACTCAGGAGGACCTTTGGAGACCACATTATTGTCCATGTAGGTTAAGATCTAGATGGGAAGACAAAGCATATGTTTTTTTGTTTTTGTTTTCTGCTTCGTTAGGGTGGATGCCTTATGTCATAAAATTGCTTATTTGTGATAATTAAAATTGCCCACGATTCAGCAGCATCAGAATAGAACTTTTTGTCCTCTATATTCTGATTGGCTGCTGACATCAAATGCTCTTCACATACTTTTATTTTTATCAATAACTTTCAATATGGATGTAAACAATGTGATGTGAGATGGACAGCTCCACCAAGAAAACGGTCCTATATTCAAGTGGTCATTATAGATAAATATTAATAATTAGCTGGAAATATTGTTTAAAACTGGTTAATGGAAACAAAATTTAAAGCAGGGTAGAACTAGCAAGGGGGCTATTACCCCCCAGTAGCATGCTAGATTTCTGGACTTCAGTCTCCCACCATTCTCCTGCTGAAAAGCAGTGAGAGAGATGTTGGAATTACTGTTTACACAATACTTAGGCAAAAGGTAGGAATTGCCTAGAGCCTTTGATAACTCATTGCTCTGTGGGTTTCTGCATGAGCTGTAGCCAATCTCTATGTTCTTCATTAACTGACCTATTTACCAGGAGACTGTAATATCTCAGCCTGACCATGCTGCCAGTCCATGATGCGTATATGTGGTGTTCTAAGAGGTGTTTTTTGAGATTAGACAGTTCTCCGTGACACTGGAGTCATTAGAAACAGAGGCTTCCTCTCCTAAGCATACAGAGATCTATGGGAATGTTCCATCATGCTATGTACACCATATACTGATGGAGGCTGCAGGGATACACACCTCGCTACTCGAGGATCCCCATCAATCAAACATTTACAATAGATGTCAAATGAGTAGGACCATCCACACGGAGATCTGAGAATTTTATGTGCAGAAAACCGCCATTCAATTAAACTGCCTACGGCCATACCAGTCTGAAAGTGCCTGATTTCGTCAGATCTCAGAAGCCATCCAGACTTGGGCCTGGTTAGTACTTGTATGGGAGCCCAACTAGGAACCTCAGGTGTTAGGAAGGCTGAACTTGATGGACGCAAGTCTCTTTTCAGCTATGTAACTATTCATTTTACTTGCACCCCTGGCCAAAAGTTGCAGGCCATTCCCTGCTTTAAATGTATTTTTTCTTGTAAACTGGAAATTCCATTTAAATAGGATATATGTAAATGTATAGAAGTGTTATTGGGAACAGTCATAAATTAAATATGCATGTGTTGTCCTTCTGTTGTTGAACAGATATTAGCTCCTTCCCTGTGCAACAGACTGAATCATGTAAATGATTGTTTTAGTCCTCTATACACTTCACTTTGAACTCTGCAGTCCAGTTTGAACTCTGCAACTCTCCATAGTCTCTATAAACTGGACTCTGCAGATATCAACTATAGAGTCTTGCATGGTCAGAGTCAGTACATCCATCTGTGGAAAAAATACTCCTTACTTATTACATTTGAAATACAGAAGCAATATGCATCTCAGATACTTACTATTTTGTCCAGTGCTGTGCTGTCTGGGTTCATTACAGTCCATTCGATATCTAGAGTCCCAGTTTCAGCGGGGTCCAGGGTATAGGTACATCCAAGCTGTACAGTCTCACCAGCTGCCTTGTAAATGGTCTGTGTGCTGGGCTCTGAGATGGTCACTGATTTTAACTGAACTGTGAAAAAACAGAATAACCGGTCGTCAGAGTAACCTTGCAAATCTCTAGATCCACTGTAGGCAACAGTTAGTCCACTAGATGGTGCTAAATTACACCACTCTTGGTATCAAAAATAGTGGCATATGTCTGTAGCTAGGGTGGGTGCCCAAATATATATTTATATTCTAACATTTTTTATTATTTTTGCAATTTGAAATGTTATCATTTTTAAAGAAAACCCAAAGAAGTGAAGGTGTGACCACCTAGGTGATATTTCCCAAATATGTGCACACACAAAATGAAGACAATTAAATAAACGAATTGTTCTCATTTGTTAGACCACAGGGTTTGTCCATGCCATTACAATGTAAGTAGAATATGCAATCATTAAGAATAGTACTATGCAATATCAGTGGGTCTTGGAGTGTCTGGATTCGTATCAATAAAAACTATCATCAGGCTGGGACGGGTCCTAAAGAAGCTATATTATAATGCATTGATGATGATGATGATGATGGTTATTATTATATTTATATAGCTCCAACAAATACCGTAATGCTTTACAATGGGTGGACTAACAAACATGTAATTGTAACCAGACAAGTTGGACGCACAGGAACAGAGGGGTTGAGGGCCCTGCTTAATGAGCTTACATGCTAGAGGGAGTGGGGTAAAATGACACAAAAGGTAAGGGACGTATATTGGTAATACTGGTAATAGTATTCAATGAAGACTTAGTGTGTTTTTTTTTGTTTTGTTTTTTTAAATGACAGTTGCAGGAATTGACTCACTTGGGAGCCATTAACAGTTTAATTGATACGCTTTTGTGAAAAAGTGAGTTTTTAATGATTTTTTTTATTTTTTTAAATTCTTTATTTTTGTCGTGCAAGAATTTACAACAGTGTCTGTGTAGCCACAACAGCTGTAACAGACGCAGTCAAATATAACATATTAAAACATTTTTGTGGCGTAAGTTAACTCAGCACGTTTTTGTAATTTAGTGAACAGGATTAGGTCAAAGAGTATGTAAGGCATTCAATTAAACATTGCTAGTGTGTCTTCGAGTTAGGTGTAAGGACTGGTCTAGTGAAGGAGGTATGCCTACATTGCCATGTCAAAGATAGGTCTGGCTACCGAAAGGCCTATGTGGCGCAGCGATTAGCAGCATCATATTGGGCTAACCCTTACGGTTAATCTGCTTTGTGAACACATTTTTGTCATGCTTATTTTGTAAGTTTTCATCACATTAATATCTGTCACGGTACCCTCCAGCATACACCAAACCCTATGTACTTATTCGCGTTGGGTCAAGTCGCTTATGTTAAGTAGGGTCATCGCACATTTTGCAGCATTATATTAGGAATTCACTTTGTGTCCTAAGCTGAGTGCGAAATGTGTAAGATTATAGCGAAAACAGACATATGTATAGACGCTTTTAAGTGATAGTATCTTAGCTAGGGTAAAGATAAATCAATCTAGGAAATCTCAGGTCATCATAGGCAGCTTAAGGAGTCCCAAAGTAGTGACCTTTCTGGTTACCCGGTTTCAGTCCAGCATGGGTGGGAGTCCAGTAGTCAGGGTTTCATCCGATACCCGTTGTTGGTCTGCTCAGTGAGCCAGCATATAGCCTGGTGGGTTTGTTTAATCGATACCCAATGCTGGCAGTGTGCTTGCTCTGAAGGTTGTCGCACAGGTTAAGCGTGGATGCAGCTGCAGCTACTGTAGTGTCCTCCAGGAGGGATAGGGTAGGCCTCAGGTGCTTTCCTCAGGCACAAAGGGGTTTTTCCACCAAATACATATGCTGCTTGTGGCCTGGGACCTCTAGGGTGTATTGATTGGCAGATCTGCTGCATTTGTTGGTGGTTGTCTGCTCCTCCATCCCCCTGACGCTTGGTGTCTGCTTCTGGTCGGGCTCTCGAGGTTTCAACTTTGGGGGCTCCCCACTCCCCGCCCAGCCGTGGAACCAGGCTTGATCCGTGAGTGGGTAAGCAGGGGCTTTTTAGAGGGTCCGACGCTTATCTGCAGGTTCGGGCTCCATGGCCCATGTATGCTGTTTGTTGACCTGCGGGCAAAGCTGTTTTTAGGTAGATGCAGATGCTGTTCTCAGCTTCAGTCGCGTCGCCGCCATTTTGGCGCCCAGGCATAGGATGTGGGGTGCTAGGTGTGCTCCGTGGGTCACTTAGGCGGTGGTTCCCTCCAGTGAGGACCGGGATATCCCCCCCGGTCCATGGGGGGGAAGCAGGGGCCCGTGATACATATCACTGGGCTATTGCGCGGCAGCCAGGTTCAAAAGCAGGACGGCGGCCGTCCGCCCCGCTCTCCACCCACATAGGCCGCAGACCCCGAAGTCTTGCATCTCCCCCTGGGGCTGCAAAACTCCCGATCTCGGGGACCACAGTGGCACCGGCAACCACCCGGACATGAGAGGTGGTCTCTTGACTCTGAGTCAGGCTTTAAGCTTGGATTTTTCCTCCAAATTAGGCCAGATCCTGCAGGAGCCTCTCCAGCCTGCGACCGGTCAGCATGGCGGTCGGGCCCCGCCCCCTAATGATTTTTTTGAAGGAAAGGAGACTGGGTAAGATTCGAACAGAAAAGGGAAGGGAGATGATCTCTAATTGATAATTATGTCATACGTTCATTGGTGTCATATAAGGTAACCAGTTCCGGTATGTTGGACAGCTGCAGTACAGAAGGATCTGTACTTAAAGAAGAGCTGTACGTAAAATCTCAGTGTTTTTAGATATTGCCTAGGAATCATGAAAAGTACACATAGCTCTGGGTCAAAGGGAATTGTGCATTTTTTAGACATTTAAATCACATACTAATTGCCAAAAGGAGTGTCATTTCTGGTAACGCAGTCAAATACAGAGCTAAGTGCCTATGTCGGGACTGTATCCCAAGTACTATTGGAAACAAGAGGGGTGGTTACAGGACGAGCAAGCAGAAGCCACGTACCACCCGTACAAACTATCCTGATAAAAAAAATCCTGAAAAAGTGCAAAATATATTTTGCTTAGAGATTTGTAAAGATAGTGACCAGTGTATTGCATCTAAATAAATCCCTGAATCCCCAACTCCCACGCAATGACAAATGTACGACTTACCTGGAGGTTAGAGAGAGCAATGCATAGCAAAGCAATGTCAGATTAGGTTTGGTTGGAGATGTAGTGCATGTTTGTTCAAATAATGATACCATCAGTTACACTGAACCATCAGTTCTTATGCCTTGGGTCAGGATCTAAAAATTGTGACCCAAGGTATTTCAGGGGATCCCATTGATTGGGACAGATAGATCGTATTCATCGGGCCACAAGTAAGTGGCCAATATTATTCATTATTGTCGCATCACAGCTCTCCACACTCTAAGTGATCCCCCTTTGTGAATCGTCTAATGAAGGTATTATGCTGAACGTATTTTGTTTTAGATTTTATTTAAGAATGGGCCATGAGCTGATTTTAAAACTAAAGATGGGATGTAAAATCTGTCGTAGTAACATCATTTGGCTCCCTGTCAAAAAAGTTAAAAAACTTATTTTTGTTGTTCGAGTATGTTAAGTAGTTTATAGGTTGTACTATTACTGAAAATAAGAAAAGGCACTTGAGATATTTCAGAGACTTCATATCCTTTGCCCTGGGGTTGAAGTTAGAAATGCCAAGTTGATTATTGGCCAAGAAAGAAACAAATGTCATGTTGGGGAAAAGTTCAGTTTCAGTTTGTAGGTGTCCAATAGCTAATATAGAGGTATGTTAAAGAGAGAATGTTTGGTAACAGGAGACACATCTTGGGTGGAACCCAGAGTATTATAAAAGTTTTATTAGGGGGCAACAAACGAGCTCTCTGTACATTTCCACTGTGGATGGAGGTACAGCTATATGAAGTGCAGTATTATGAGCTAATATCAAAGTTGTATAATAGTTAAGAACATCAGAAACTCCTTGCCCTCCCGCCTTGATATTCATATTGTAACTTTTTTATTATGCAGATTATAACATATGCTTTCACATTCATAAAAAGTAGAGTTTAGACCCTTGTGTATGTAATGCCTCAAAGGGCTTTAACAGTTTAACCAAAATGTGGTAAAATAAGACATCCAGTATTATGGTTATCTCAATGCCCAGCTGTTCTGGTCAGCTCTCCAGTCATATGAAAATTTGGAAAATTGAATGGTTATTGTGTTGTCCATACCTAAAGCAATGGTTTGGGTTTCCCCACTTGTCAAGACTCTGCTACAGTCTATTAAGACGTTCTGTTACAACAGTCAGGATATCAATGGTTGTGTACCTAATGTACCTAACCGTTTTAAGAGTATTCATGTTTTCTCTGATTTTAAATAGCAAAGTCTCCATATATAAACATTTATTTCCATTCATTATTGTGAAGGATGATGACATAAACCTTGCAAAATGGATTTAGTCTGTGGGACAAATATAATTGTCTTTAACTGTATTTATGATCTGTTGTGGAATGAAAACCTAAAGAGAACCAAATGCAGATATTCCAATTGAGGTGGTTAAATGCCCAGCTGGCATCACTTGAGACTAATAAACCAGGATTATGGGAGATGTGCAGTTGGTAGATAAAACTGATGAGTTTTGTAATGTTATCGGTAACCTTTTTGTTCCTTCATGAAGACCACCTGGTCACCATCAATTTGAAAGGGGATGCAGTGGGGATATCATTTGGCGTCATCATTCAACAGATAAAAGCACCTGAAAATCATACAAAGTATAGGAGATTTGCACGGCTTAGTTAATGCCATTATTTGCCATAATGTAGGAAATGGACCTTCTTCAGGTACCCATAAGAATAATTAACCGATTGTTTTTAGTATGGGCTCCATAAAGAAAAAAACTATACAATGTGACTTGGGAATTCCATTTGGCCCTAGTGCTTTCCCAAAAAGTACCGTATTTGGAAGTGGTAAAATAAATTTTTCCACCAATATTGGTGCGGAAAGGGGAAGAAGTTTGGTTAGGGTCAACCGAGCTAAGTGTAAATTGTGTAACTATACATTTCTTCAGGGTAAGATTTGTGGTTGTCTTTGGATTTTTATAAAGATTGCCACAAAATTTACATTAAATAAAAATGTTGTCCTTGTCAGAACAAGAATTCTGAGAGATTTTTATTCCAATTTGTTTATCCAGAGTATTTCTGCTCACTTTTTTTAGCGCAAAATGTTCATATTGTAATCGTTCTTATTAATAACATGTCCAGTGTAAATGATCTAATTCCTCATTTCTAGGTTTATTAATTCATTCATTTTTGGAAGATTCCATCCAGCCAAGTAGTGGATTTCGTGGGTTTTAACCCCTTAAGGACACATGATGGAAATATTCTGTCATGATTCCCTTTTATTAAGAAGTTGTGTCCTACCAAAGCCCAGGTGCTCAGTTGATGAATTATCCACGGGTCATTGACAAGCTGTCATGTTCAAGTCATCCAAGGTACAGTTTTGTAAGAAATAACAGTAACAATGAAATTGCATAGATGGATTGGCAATGGCGATCTTTTCTTTAATAGACAGCTGCACAGATGTGTCAAGGGAGAGATCAATTATAAAACTGAAGTTCTGTAAGGTTCAAGATCCCTGTTTATAAGGAATTTAGTGAGGAAGTTATGCTAACTTACACTGAGAACATACTAACAAATGTAAAAAATGCATGAAATAAACAAAATTTGGATACTAGCCCTTTATTCAGGATTCATTCACTGAAAGCCACACACACCCTCCCTACGATTCTCTGCTGTCCCCAGAAGCAAGATACAAGAGACATTCTTTCCATTAACCTGGCACCCTGCACCGTCCTTAAAAGGACACCACTGACTAAATACAAAAATAATAAAATAAAATTGCAATTTGTAGATACAGTCTAATAAAAAATGCATGAATTTAATTATGAAATTTTCCTTTGGGGTTATATAGAAAATCAGTTTACAAAAGCTGCAGATCTATTGTCTGCAGCCTTTGCAAGCCCTCACATTCAAACCCCATCCAGACTTTCTGAGGCTGTCCAATCACAGACTTCCTAATGCAGTTCAATTAGAAGTCTTTGCAAGGCAGGTGCTCTGTGCAATTGTTGCCTCTTGAGTTAAGTTCCACTGAGCTAACCAAATCAGGAAGTAACAGGACAGGTTGTGTGATTGACAGCTAGGGGGGTGTAACAAAGTTAATTTATAAAAGTGCCAATTTCTATTGAAATCTGCACTTTTTTGTAGTGAAAGTACACACTCTTCACACATAAAGCACTTCAGCCATATAAGTGCTCTAGGTATTTGGAGTGTTCCTTTAACAGCTAACATGCATTTATTCCAGCTGTGAAAGCTCCCATGTATCCTGCTCCTGCAATAATATCTGCCCCGCAGCCTGACCCAAACCTGCTCCAGAATCAATTACAAAGTAAAAAAAAACAAACTAAAAAATATTTGCTCTACAAATGGAGTATCAGTTTGACATTTAAAAGCTAAATAACCTTTCATATTTTATTCACAACTTTAAGTCTTTATTTCTGCAACACAGAATACAATATTGGTTGTGTTTAACTATAATAATTTTTTTTCAAGATAAATTATGACATAATATGATATTGTTTATTGGTCCCATCTAGACAATGTTCTACCTCTGTGCTGTTTGCTAAGTAAACGCACTCACGTTTTAGCCTCACACAACCAGTATGTCCATTTCTGACCTCACGCACACACACCCTTCATTCCCTAACGAAACTCAGTACATCAGAACACAGTTTCAGTCAGACATACCAGAAGGGAGGAGATTGATTTTCTTGAACTATGACCAACACCTTACATGACACGCCAATTTCACGTAGGTGTGGACTTTTTTTTTAAATTGCAAGATAAAAACAAAACACTACTTGTCAAAACATTGTGTGTCTGCTCACATGGGGAACAGGAAACTGATCATAATTATATCTTTAAAAAGTTTATTATCTAAAATCAGGTATTAGACACATGGAATGGCCTGCCAACAGAGGTGGTAGTTAGCAACGACTACTGCAATTATCAGAATAAATATTCTAAAAAGCCTTTCCAGAGGAAATCAAATTGTGAATGATTCATTGCTTCTGCAGAAACCGGAATAACACATGCACGAACAAATTATAATTAGAAATCAAAATAATTGCCAAGGTGGCTTGACATCAGAGCTCATAGTCTACCGAGTTAAAAAAAAGATCTGTCATCAAAGAAAATATTATTTTTCAAATACCTCAGTAGACCATGATCACTTGGGTATTTGGCAATCTGTTTGTTGGGTCGAGTGAATGAAACCAAACAAGCAAGAAGCAGTATGTTTAACCCCTTAAGGACACATGTCATGATTCCCTTTTATTCCAGAAGTTTGGTCCTTAAGGGGTTAAATGTAAAGTACATTTTTTAACACTGAGGCAAAAATTTGACCAACTGAGTCATGCTTGGAGTCTATAATAAAAATAGGTATAACTCGTTGGCATAAATCATTCAAACTATGATTCAGTTAAAGGGGCACTCCTGTGCCCAAATCTGAAAAAAATGAAAAATATTTTTGTGTGTATATAAATCTCTCGAACTTTTTATTAGATATGCCTCAACTGAAAATGTGCATGCATTTAATTATGCATTTTTTCATTTGGGGTATATATCCAAAAACAGTTCTCTTGTCTGCAGCCTTTACAAACCCACCCCTTCTAACCCCGCCCAGACTTTCTGTGTCTGTCCAATCACAGACTTCCCAATGCAGCTCAATGAGAAGTCTTTACAAGGCAGGTGTTTAGCTCCACTGAACTAACCAAACCAGGAAGTAACAGGACTGGTTGTCTGATTGAAATCTAAGGGGGTGTAACAAGGTTAATTTATAAAAGTACCAATGTCTCTTGAAATCTGCACTCTTTGTAAAAGGAATATTTCAACTTCCTACTTTGCATCCCGGGACATCAAGAGTGTTTAACAAAGCTCGGGTACCAAACACTTTCCCTTGAAATCTATATAACGTTTTGTTACACAAAACAGTGATATTTATATATGTTTTATTAAATATAGTAGGTCTATATTGTAGGTCCCAAAGTAGGTATGTACACGAGCTTGAGAGAATGGTTTGTGCTTGACATAAGCACAGACTGATGCTAAACCACCAGAGTAACCTGAAGGATCTCTTCATCTCCTCAAGCTTCATCTTCAAGAATCCAAGGAATGACAATCCCCCTGATATTTACTGGGATCCTACTCCACTCTCTATACCTAGACTCTTGTCAGGAAAAATGGGCATCTGATTTGTACAGGGAAGGGATAGCTAGCTCTGAAAATGACAATCCCTGTGTTATAATTCCGCTCTCAAGCACTTGCAATCTTTTAGGAATGGTTTGGCAGAATCAAACTAAAACAAACATGAAATGATACCAGCACAATGTACCCGATTGTTTACTACACACATTGCGGAGTGTCTCGCGTAGTAAATTATTCACCGATGCTACGGTACATTGACAGAGCATCTAACCACATGTTTACAAAGTCTCGTGCAACTTTCACCTGCATCTTGGGAGTCTGATAAACAGAAACTGGAGACCAGTTTGGCAGCAGAAAGGAATGCAAAGACTTTTGAGAAGATACAGAAAAACCTACAAGCATTGAGAGCAGGTACAGGAAGATGCAACAAGAGACAAAGCTCTAGCGTACAATGTTCCAAAATGGCTCTCAAAATTGTCAGTGAAATTATTTTTAACCTATTGAAGTGATTAAGGTGCCTGCAGTCCGTGAGTTTAATAACAGTTTAGCAGAGATTCTCGACAAAATGGTGGAGGCCAAAATATGCTACACTTCAGGCGATACCAGGGGTTCCGGGCAGTGATTGGCTGAGAGTGTCAGCTGTGTGCTCTCAGTCAATGTGTCAGGATTACAAGTTGATCCAGCATGCAGTACTGTGTCACAGCTAGGACTAAGGATAACATATAACCGGTCCTTAGAATGGCCGGACTTAACGTCTCCAAGAATAGCCAAAATACTTGCCGAGGTCAGGGACACAGAATCACACACAAAGATGAGGGAAAGCCAAATGTCAATTATATCAGGGAAGTCATATCAGGCATACCAGTTATCAGGGAAGTCAAAAACCAGAAAGTCAAGATCAGGAGTGCACTCCCTGATAATCATAGGCATGAAACCACGATAGGGCAATGAGCAAGAGGAGAGTTGGGTTTAAATACCCCTCCTGTGGATCCGATTGGCTGAAACCGGCCTTTGACCCCAAAGGCAATTACCAGGTGTGCATGATTGCTGCTCAGTACAAATCCTCCTGTGGATTTGATTAGCCATGACCGGCCTTTGACCCCAAAAGTAGTTACCAGGTGTCACGGTAGTTTACCCCAACACGCAAGATGTAGTCCAACAATCGACAGATAGAGCAGAAACGTCTTACCGGACCTTAGAATGGCCGGACTCGCCGTATAGCAGAGAATAGACAGAGTCAAGAACGAGCAGAGGTCAAGGGAACAAAGAGACTGCAAGAACAAAAACTAGCCAAGGTCTGGTACACAGTAGTCAGTAAGCCGGCAAACAAGACAAAACAGGGATAGAGAGATAAACGGACTAAGATACAAAGCCAAGGTCAAGCACGAAAATCACAACTGAACACAACAAGCGCTAAAGGGAACTGAAACAGAAACCACGATAGGGCAGGGAGTTAAGGGAGAGGTAAGTATAAATACCCTAACCTTTACTTTGATTGACCCCTGTCATATCCACGCCCCCAAAATGTGAGTGTATGGGGAATGTGGGATGACAGGGGCCAATGGGAGACCGTTGTATTTTTTGCCTCCCACTGCCCCTTTAAGAGCGTGCCCGAGACGGCGGGAAGAGAGGACCTCGGCCGGCCCCCGGGTAAGGTAAGTACCACTACACCAGGTTTCCATGTGCATGATTGCTGCTTGGCACAACTTTTCCTGACAGGATGGTAATGTTGCTCGGCACAACTTTTCCTGTCAGGACAATAAATGCCATTAACCACATTTTTATGTGCGGATGAATACGTGACACAATGACTGCCCCAATCCCTGCTAGGAAATGGTATGGCGGAAGCATATCGTAATTGGGCTGCAGGTTGCCAGAGACCAAGCATCTCTGCTAAACAGTGAGTAAACCATCTAGCAGTGATGTGGGGTACAGCACCTATGGGCTGCAGACACAACAACTACTTAATTTATGAAGTGGTTATGGAGACAACCAGGTTCCTTTTGCTGATTTTAAACATTCAAGTAAAATTAATGTAGTTTGTAATTCTGTGCCAGAATGGAAAATATTTCTTTGCTCAAGAGTCCTCCTTCTGTACTGAAGAATATCTCAGCTCCAGTGTTTGCTTACTGCCTCACTGGAGAATATAAACATAGGACATCACCCATCCCTATGGGTTCCAAGGCATTCTGTTTGTCTGTGGTACACTGACTCCTGTGTGACCTGTTTCTGTTTGTGTCCTGGCCCTGTGTGACCTATTCCCTGACCCTTGCTGCTGTCCCTTGTTCCTGGCTATGCAACAAATCTGTTTCCTGAGTTACTCAACCCATTTCTTTGCCCTCTATCAAACGGACTACTGGTTTATATTCAGTTGTTGATCCGGTATGTGCTGCCATGCTGGTTTCTCTCATCCTATTCCTGCCACACAGGCCAGAATGGATCCAGATTCTGAACTCGTGGAGAGACAGGGCAGTGATACAGGCTTGTCTGTGATGCTAACTGTGTTACTGAGAGTGGCATGTAATGTGGGCACACATGCCAGCCAGTCAAGGCTGTCCATACAACAAGCCAGGGGTGTTGATAGTTCCAGAACCATTGGGGGCTTCATCCCAAAGGAAAGCTCAATGACCCCTAGAGTAACAGGGAAATGTCAAGACATACCTACCCCTCTCTGTCTTTTAATGTACTGATCTACCCACCAACAGCGCGCCGATGACGATTGTCTCAATAAAAGCACAGCCGGATAGACGTGTGTGCTTGAACGCATTGTACTCCCAAAACCTTATGCTGACATTCACCTGGGGGCACCACCCCTTCATCCTAAGCAGCCTAGTGGAACCTTGTAATATGTTTTATAATAAGTACCTTCCTGATGTAAAATAAAAAATCACTAATAGGCTCCTGCCCATTCCAGCAGAGAGATCAGAGATCCAAGGCTAAAAAGCCCACTCCCAAGGTACCAGCCCACAAAAGCCCCAACATCTCTGCACCAATGGCTGCTGTAGTGCTTGTGTATGGGCTTAAATATCCTGAACTTCACTATAAGAGCACTACGAGCATGGCTAATCGAGCACTTACTGTGCACTTACTAACCGTTCACCTAATACGGGGTGAGAGAGCCAGTCTCTCTGGTGATCAGAAGTACTGATAGCAAACCATATGTCATAAGCCACCACTGTGTAATTTGTCTGGTATGCAGTGTCAGCAGTCTTTCCATGTTTGGGTGTTTTGTGGCCGGCACTTCCTACAGTCCCTCGTCAGAGGGCTCAGGCCGCTAGTTTGAACACTCCATCAAAACAATTAACCCTAACCCTGCAAAGGATTACTCCAGAAAGAGCTGAGTCATCAAGTTCTCCCCGAAAAATGCATGTTTGTATTTTTCTCTTTTTTTTTTATCTCAAAAATTCATTGTTTATGTATCAGTGCAAGTTTATATTGTAGTCTTAATTATTCATATAATCCTACACGATATAAACTATTTTTAAAGAATAATCAATCCATACTTCACATGACAGATAAAAAAGCTATAAACTTATTAAATTATACCTTTCTTGTACTTTTTATAATACACACGTTTTGTATGTCATTTGTTAATGATTAACCTATAAGGGGTGAGATTAGTGAGACTGCTTTTGGCCATCTGTTTATGCTTCATGTGTTTTTAATGAATTAATATGTTGCTTGTTGACTCAGCAAGCCTAGTGTGTCTTCCAGTTAGGAAATTGCAGAATAAGCGATGTACACACTGCAGCATGTATAGATCAGAAATCACAGACACAAGTGGGAGCCTGTACCATGGTCTAAAATACAGTGCATAACTTTTTTTTTAAATATATCATCACAGCAATTTGCTGGAGAAACAAACAAAAAAATCCAAGATGCACAAAATGTTGCACTTAAACATGAGCATGTTAATAATTTCTCAGAAAATAGAGGTCACAACAAAATAAGAAGAAAATAGATGTCTTGTCCTCATGGACTTTTCAAGAAGGTCCATCAGAGTTTTTAGGTGGAAAAAAATATTCTAGAGCAGAGAGAATCACAAAGCTCTTTAACCTTCCCTTTCGAAATGTCACAAGTCGTTTACCATCTCGGTGTTGTAGATGTACTTGTCCCACACTACCAGGCATTTAAACCAATTGTATAGGTACTCTTTGTTAATGGTGATGTGACCTGCACAGATCCTCAAGATCCACAAGAGTCAATCAAGATCTATAACTTGTCTGCCATAAGTTTGGAGGGTCCAGCCATAGCTTCCTCTAGCTAACAAGCTAGGAAACCTGAATGTTCCCCCAAATAATCACAAGCTATAAATCAGCATGGTATCTGGAATATTTAGACTTGTCTCTGGTCCATTTTGTTGAAAGCAATACCCTCTCTTATAGTACCAGGAAAGCCACGGCACCGTCCCAGTCTATTTTCTCAAAAACTTACATTGGTCCCCATGGGCATCTACACCACGTCCTGTCTTCTCCTGTAGAAGAAGCTGGTGGGTCTGTTCAGTTACTATTGGGTATATGGCCTCAGGCGCCAGACAAGACCCAGGTACATTATCCAACTATTCTAAAACAGTTTAACAAGACACACTGGGACAGCGCCTGGCAATCCTGACATCATAACCACTACAGCAGGTTGAAGTGGCTATGATGCTTGAAGCCTTCCATTATTGTAACCATTCAACAACCAATGAGGCTAGTGAGATAGCTCAGGTTGAACATATCAACAATAGAAGCTGTTCTCTCTTTAAGACAGCAGCTACAATGCCTGGCAGGTTAAACTCAAACTGTGATACTTATATTGTAAATAAAATAATTTTTTATTTGGTAAGTACTGAAATTTATGAGTTAGTCCTAGAGGAACGTTAGATAGCCATTGCAAGTCATTCATAAGTTTCAGTAAATTTACAGAAGTTAAACGCTGATTGATTGCTGATAACAAATGTCTCAGTATATTTTGATTTCCTCTGAATGAACTAAACTCCAAGGTATTATTCGGATGGGCTCAAACAGTGGCGTCTCAAGATCTGGGCCAGCTATTTTCTCTATATCAGATGTTTTCTGATGGGAAAGCAGTACTGAAATATTTAATCATTCTGACAGTTTTAAGATAATTTCAGTGTCAAGTGACAGTTCAGGTTGAGCAGGGTGGTGTCTACATGTCTTTACAAAATTTGGGAACGGGGAAGCTCAGCTAATATGCCTGGACTCAGTCACACTATTGTTTGAGAAAACCAGTTGGAAATTATCAGAAATGGCTTATTTATCATCTCCCCCTCCCAATTTTCCATACCTAAATCAGCATAAGTATATGACGAATAGATTAGACAATAAAAAAATATTATTCACCTACTATTAGACCGACTGTGAAGCCCACCTTCACCGATGTTCAGTTGATAATTATTATTATTATTATTATTATTTATAAAGCACGAAAAAATTCCACGGCATTGTACAATGATGGTCTTGATTTAATATTTTTGGACAAGCTTTACAAATTATTTAATAATTATTATTTTTTTTAATTTAAATATAAAGTGTGTGTATATATATATATATATAAAGAAAAATATGAAAAATATTACAATATAAAAATACTTGTCAAAATATTAAGTAAATTGTAAATGCATATGTAAAAATAATAAATTGGGCCTGATATGTCCAATTCAAACACAACAAAAATTCTAAGAAATTAATAATATAAATGATCACATTTTTTAATAAAGCCAATAGCGTTTTGTGATTATTGGGGAGAATTAGAATAGAGTAGTTACTAATCAGAACACTGATACAAAGTTGTAATAGTGAGCAGTTGTTATGGAAACCAGTGGAATCAACAGGGAGATTCTGTTAGTTTCTACGGAGACTGCACCAGTATCAAACCTAAAATGTTCCCAGCATGTATCTGTCCCCTTCCCTAATTGGCTAGTCATCTTACATGTTTTTATTTAAATGTTTGTATCTTGTAAAAGAAGTAAAGGGTGCAAGGGAGAGATATCCAGTTACACGTGTTCTTTAAATGCCCCAAGCACGACTGGTTCAGAGCGGTCAGGCAAAATGTAATGCTTTAAAATATCTTAAGATCTGCTGAATGGTTTTAAACATGCAGACAGATTTAATGGAGCTGGCCCATTTGACATATGGTTTAAATATGTTACATTAATTAGAATTTTAATGGAAAGTGAATGATCGTGATGAAATTCAGAATATATGGAAACCACTAGGGCTTTGCTGGGTGATATCACTCATAGACCAGGGTCTCCGGGCTGTTAATAGAACCTTGAGGTAAATGGGAAGATTATCAGGTGAATGGGGCAGAATTGTAGATTCTCGCAGTGAATAGACAGATTCTCAAGGTGAATTAGCTGATTTGCAGGATAAATTGGCAGATTCTCTGGCTCTCAAAGTGAATAGGCAGATTCGCAATGAGAATGAGTAGATTATCACGGTCAAAGGGCAGATTTGTTGGATGAGTGATCAGAAGATTCTCAATGTTTTAGAATGAACAGGTAGATACCCAATTTATCTTGTTTTGTTTTGGAATCTCTGGTGGAAAGGCCAGATTCTCACACATTGGTCCGAAATACATCACAATAAATGATGGTAAATAGAACCTAATATAAAAACAAACATAAAAAACAATGTGTAACACTATGTATTATAGAAGAGTAACTTGGAACACTCACAAGTGTGAAGGCCAATTATGAGTGGGCTCAGCACTCCCAGATGTAGACAGGGTGCAGTAGTTTTAAATATCAGGTCCTCCAGAAATGGTAATGATCCTCTCAGGAATCATTATAGATTAAAATGGTTTTATTAACATAATATAGAAAGCAAAAAAATAGTTCACAACGCTTTTCAAACCACTAAGGGGTCTTCCTCAGGTGAACATTGAGGTGTATTCTTAAAAGACCATTCTAGGCACCATAACAACTTCATCAGAATGGAGTTGTTATAGTGCGAGGAGGTCCCAAACTCTGGCTTGCCTGAAAGGGGAAAGCCATTAGCAAATGGTTTAACGTTAAAGTCTTCAGCCGAGTGCCACACTGCTCTGCACAGCAAGTTCCGCTTTATTTATTTATTTATTACTATAAAGTGCCAAACATATTCCACAGCGCTGTACAACTGGGAAAATGTCAATACAATAAGAACAGACCGATACAACAGGTAGAGGGCCCTTAGCATGTGCTTTATGGCCAAAGCTTCAATCAGGAAGAGGTGTCACTGAGAGCGTCAGCCCATCGGGAGTTCCCCCATTGAGAAAGATAGTGATAAAGCTACGCCTAGGATCTCCTTGCACCATAACAACTGTATCCATTTACATACCGAGTGCCAGTGTGGAATGACTTGCTGCTTTATCATTTACACCTCTATATGGTCACACTGTCATTAAATCAGGGGAAGATTTTATCCAAGATCATTTTGATAATTATACAGTTATTGATTATTGGGGGGGAGGTACAGTCCTCACTGTATTCCTAGTGATTAAAACATAAAACCATTATATAAAGGCCAGTATTACAAACACATTTTAATGTTTGGACCATTAAAGGGTTTATATTCTTAATATTGTTTGGGTCTGTTCATTTGAAATTTAAAGAAATAAAATAGTACAATAATTATATATATTTATATGCTTGTCTGTTATATATTATACGCATATACACATGTTTATTTATTTATTTATTTATTTATAAATTGTATATTTATAGCGCGTGTTATAGATAAAGAATCTCTTTCAGGAATAAATTGAGGTATTTTCCAAGGAAGCGAGGAAGAGATTATATGCCGAACGTTCTATGAGACGTAATGCTGTTTTTAATTTGTACTCTTTTGTATAAAGCAGAAGTGAGGGGCTCTGTTCCATGTGTGCTTGGTTAGCTTTGTGGCCCCAAAGTTTCTGCACTACATTTCCCACAATGCTTAGGAAGCAATATATATATATATATTGGTTTTTCACATTTTATATATCCCTAGTTTTGAAAAGTAAAGATCGCAAGAACATATTTCTGTAGCTCATAATGTAATCTAAATTATCTTCTAGTCAAATCTCTAGAGAAGGCATTTAAGGTTTGCTTTCATGGCTGATGCACTTTAATTAGTAATAATCACATTTGCAACAAACAACCAATTTGCAATACATTCTGCTTTAAATGATCCATTATCTTTAGAATTAAACTTATAATTCACCTTTGCTTCACTTCGTTTTTTTCATACTTGGCTTTTAATTACAGGGCTTTAAAAATGTCTGCCTATTCTGCTTATTTGTTATTTCCGGCAATTCCCGGTGGTGTGGGACATGTGATTAAAAAGCAGCGATGATAACACTTAGAATGATAAGAAGTCTGTTACCTGGCAACAAACACAGCACAATCAGCGAGGGAATCCAGTACTGGCCCACCATAGTTGCCCACCCAGTCGTCTCAGGATGTACGTTCCTCAGCTCCTAGTGTCACGGATTGCTGTTTGCTAACTACTAGCCTTGATCACTGTGCCCAGTTTGGGAAGCGGTGAAACTTGCACAACGAGTTTAATGTTTATGACAGTATAGGACACACCCTCCTGTCTCGAAGAGGAGATACCAACCAGGGAATGTCAGCTATGTGTAGTGTACAGGTGACACAACAACGCAGAGTCCTGATTCTACTTTCTTTGTGTCACTGATGAGTTCCTGTTTTATTTTAGCCATAAATGATTTTACTACGCAGAATACGGCTGTTTACATACATACATATATATATATATATACTTTGAAAGATCAGCTGAACTGACTGATTTATTCATTTGGTATATAACTACAGAAAAACTACATTTAATCTTAAATGAATAAAAAGGTCTTCATACGTTGTTTTAACATTTCACCCTACTTTTCATAGTTTTTCTCATGGCACTTGTGCTATATATCATATAAAAGTGACCAATGGTTCAGCTTAACGGGACACTGTAGTCACGCAGACCAGTTCATCTCAATAAAGTGGCCTGGGTGCAGTGGCAATGTCATTTTAGACAATGTTTACATTGAAGTGTTAAATCCACCTCTAGTGCCATTGGATGCGTGCGCGGCACTCTGCCCGCAGACACCTGTGAGGAGAATTGGACCATGGTGGAGGAGACCATGCCTCCTCGATTAAGTCGTGGGAGGTGGAAAAGTGACCACAAAGGAAGTCTTGGCGCTGAAAAAAAAATGATTAAAAAGTTTTATTTTATTTATTTTTATGGTGAGGGGGGGAGGGGGCAGGGCCATAATAGCATTATGAATCTAAGTTTGTTTCCCTAATGCTATAGTGTTCCTTAAAATTCAGCTTAGATCAAGGGATATATCAAGAGCAGTGCGAACTGAGTGGTCGGGCACTTTGGACATGGTCCCATGGCCAGGCCTAAGAAGGGGGCCAGCCGCCCAGCCACTCTGTCTGTTTGGCACTGTCACACACACCTTAATTTCTGCTGCTTATCCAGAAGGGGAGGTGGGGACAGTGAGAGCAGACAAAAATTCCGGCCCAGTGCACAGAGGCGCATCACATACTGACGTTGATGTGTGCCGTCTGTACTGTCCCGGATTTGGCATGAGTTGGAATGATAATGCAGAAGTATGAACATCTGCGCTAGCAAGATCCCCTTAAACTAGCCCCACAGCTATATCAAAGTAAGTGTCAAACCCTCCGAAAACACTTTGACAGATGTCTGGTGCTATAGTGGTTGTGGTACAGTTTCCCTTTAATACCACATGGTGACAGATCTGCCACCCTTTCATAAATGATCACCTGACTTAGATCTGATATCACCATATGATCTGTAAAACCAGAAGAGGTCTGTCTCAATTTAACAAATTGTCACCTGCCTGTGAATACGTTCCCGACTCGAGCCAATTATAGGATGTAAAGTGTTACAGCTACGGTAAGTCCATTGAAAAGTAAGAAAATATAAGAACTAGTGTTCCAATCAGAAGCTCCCATCCCATAGCATTCTTAAAGGGAAACTCCAGTGCCAGGAAAACAATCCGTTTTCCTGGCACTGCAGGTCCCCTCTCCCTCCCACCACCCATCCCCATGTCCCTTTGGCGGAGGTTTCTGCTCACCGCCGCTCCTCCTAGTGATGACGTCAGCCGGTGGGCGAGATTGATCCCGCCCGCCGGCTGAGGAAACCTAATGTAGAGCTCTCCATAGGAAAGCATTGAAAATGCTTTTCAATGCTTTCCTATGGGGAATTGAGCGACGCTAGAGGTCCTCACACAGCGTGAGGACATCCAACGACGCTCTAGCACAGGTTTCCTGTGCTATGGATACGGAAGTGCCCTCTAGTGGCTGTCTAGTAGAGTTAACCCTGTCTAGTAGAGTTAACCCTGCAATGTAATTATTGCAGTTTAAAAAAAAACTGCAATAATTACACTTGCAGGGTTAAGAGTAGTGGGAGTTGGCACCCAGACCACTCCAATGGGCAGAAGTGGTCTGGGTGCCTGGAGTGTCCCTTTAATTTTATGTCCTAATCACTGGAACCAATGTTGTCATAATATGTTCCAAACACGAGAAAACATATGGTTACTCCACCTTAAAAAGTGTTGGGACTTGGCGCTAGCCCTCTGCCAACTCTTGTTATCTGTGGCAATGATTAAATATATATATATTGGTATTCCCACAACACTGTAAAATTTCATTTAATAATAAACTAAATCTTAATTTTTTTATTGCGGTTGTTTAGAAGTCCAAGTGTCCAGAGTGCACAGAATTAATATTAACTACAGTCACAGATTAGGGCTTCTTTGGGTGATGATTAATTGTACAATTGAACAGTTCATTGTAGTAGTTATGGTAGTATGGGTCTGAGGATATCATACCCTTGGTTTTCAGTTAAGCCATTTAGGAGCAGGTGCTTGTAGCCTGGTACCATGTCAACTGCATTGATGATAGTATTTCCAAAATTTGAATTGCAAATCCATCCAACCTTGGACCACAATGACTGGCTGAGAGCTCTGTTTAACATTTAGCAGGATCACATCGTGGAAGTGTTTATGCTAGTTTACCTGCTGGTAATTGCTACACTTACTTTATTTGGGGCTTATAGTGTTACACTTGGCCTTTTTTTTTTTTTTAAATCAATCTTTCTTTTATTAAGCTGGTAGCTGGTACATAAAGAAAAAAAAAGGATCAGAATATAACAGCTTGGCAGACACGATTAACATACAACACTAGTTTTATAGAATTCGGACTAAGAAAGACAATTTTTTGTTAAATATTAAGTAACAAGTAGGCAAGTCTAACAAGTCTAGATGCGAGAAACAAGCAAAACAGTCTAACCGAGTGGAGATGCATGAGATAACAGGCTAGTGAAAGTAATAGTACACATAAAAAAAAGAATAGGAAAAAAACAGCATTATACATCTGTACTAGTAAGACTATAAAATAACAGACTGCATCAAAAAGACAGCGGATTATTGAGTAGAACCATGGTGTTTTATCATATACAAAGTAGCCGTGCACAACACCCGTACTGATATATATAGCCTTCACCTGATACCCATGCTTTTCTGATACACAGGCCTTCCCAAGAGCCCATTTACGGTTCCCACTGCTCCGGACACTCTTGGCTCCACAAGCAAAGTCATGGAAGGCTGTAGTCACTGCTTGGAATTGTAGTTGCCCCCTCCAGGGATGAGCATCGTGGTTATTCCCCTGAAGGCCCTGACCCAGGAATTCAGTAGCGGGTGCTGGACAAGTCAAGAGGTGAATGGGTGATCTTTAGGCAGGCTTTCCACCCATGTGACTTTTTATAATCAAGAGCTGGTAATGGCTATTAGTGCCAGCTGTGAAGTGCTGAGCATCGGAAGATGAGATTTGCAGCGAGCCATCTCCTCAACTTTCTGCTGCGAGCCGGATCTGTCTGTGCCTAAGTTTGAGCTAGAAAGAAAGGATGGAAGAGGCCTCCTGCAGGCATCGTGTGGTAGCAGCAGTCATGGCGTCTACCATCTTGGCTCAGGTGGAAAGACAGAGTGTGTGTCACAGGAGCATAGGAGAAGCACTGTTTCACTCATGTTAGGTAGGTAAAGCCTGTGAGAGTGTGCAGAGATGACCACCACCGACAGCGGGGAGGAATTTTGGGATCCTGACCACTTCCACTTGTTCTCGAAAGCCAGCCAGGCCGGTTAGATGCCTATCTAGAATTCCTGTTTGTGGGATTCGCCATTCCTGTAAGTTGGGATACAACCCCGTGACAGATACATTGCACTGTTTCACTCATGTTAGGTAGGTAAAGCCTGTGAGAGTGTGCAGAGATGACCACCACCGACAGGGGGGAGGAATTTTGGGATCCTGACCACTTCCACTTGTTCTCGAAAGCCAGCCAGGCCGGTTAGATGCCTATCTAGAATTCCTGTTTGTGGGATTCGCCATTCCTGTAAGTTGGGATACAACCCCATGACAGATACATTGCACTGTTTCACTCATGTTAGGTAGGTAAAGCCTGTGAGAGTGTGCAGAGATGACCACCACCGACAGCGGGGAGGAATTTTGGGATCCTGACCACTTCCACTTGTTCTCGAAAGCCAGCCAGGCCGGTTAGATGTCTATCTAGAATTCCTGTTTGTGGGATTCGCCATTCCTGTAAGTTGGGATACAACCCCATGACAGATACATTGCACTGTTTCACTCATGTTAGGTAGGTAAAGCCTGTGAGAGTGTGCAGAGATGACCACCACCGACAGCGGGGAGGAATTTTGGGATCCTGACCACTTCCACTTGTTCTCGAAAGCCAGCCTGGCCGGTTAGATGTCTATCTAGAATTCCTGTTTGTGGGATTCGCCATTCCTGTAAATTGGGATACAACCCCGTGACAGATACATTGCACTGTTTCACTTCTTACATTTGTCTATAAAGACTGTATTCTCCTACTACATGCATACATTTCTCATTAATGGAATACATATTGTTTACTAGTCTTTTATTGTTTCTTTTGAAAGCATTTAAAACCTTCATATTGTTCTCTCCGATAGTTCCTTACTCACATGAAAGAAACCTTTACCATTGCCTTATCTTTAGAATAAGAGTCAATCGGATTTCCTTATTGTTCTCTAATCCCTCAGTTCTCTACTGCGCCTCTGCTGGATTTAACTCCATCGCCTCTCTTTGTTTGGAAATGATTTTTTACATGTTACCTCCGCCCTCACTGAGCTGCACCCAAAATAATTGCTTCGGATATAGAATATGTGTTTTCCGAAAGAAGTGAAACCGCTTCTATGGTGGTTCATAGTCTACAAGTTTTTACCAAAATGTCCTGATTTTCTTTTTAAAGTATTCCCTTAATAAATAGGGATAGTATGGTCTGCTTATGCAAAAAATGCAAGGTATCTCCATGTAAGCCCAGACATTACTTACTTTTTCACTGTTTGACATATTTAAGAGATAGAAAGTGATTTCCCCCTCACCCCCCATTAGTATTCTTAAAAGACCTAGTTCAAATATGAAGGGATATTGCTATAGATAGAAGAAAATCAATGTGCATCTTATGTACACAAACCATGCTCCTTCACACTAAATAATTATGG